ATTACGACATTGTTTATGTAAATTGTACAAAATAATTTTATGGACGTTTAAGAAATGGCGTACCGAGTCGAAATTTTTCTCCTATTTTCGACCTCAATGTTCAATATAACACCTATTTTCGACCAAAATGTTCGACCTAATACCTACTTTGATACTATAAGCAGTCACATCACCCTATTTTGAACCTCTTCAACCTCTGGCTCCTATTTAGAATCTGACAATTCTGTTTGAAAAGAAATCATGCTCCTACTTTAATGTTCCTAACGTTTTCTTAATTTATTTATTGCATTTAGTTTATTTTTATTATTATAGGTTTATTATATTTTCGATTAAATATTATATATGATTTATTAAACGTTTATAATAACGTTTATAATAAATGTTTATAATAACGGTTCTCTCTATTTATTAATTTAATCAAAAATAGTAAAAACAAAATTAAAAGGAATTTTATTAGGTTAATAATAATAGTTTTATTATTGATAACTAAAAAAAATTATTTTATATATGACGTATAAATAATTATTTATATAAAATTGTATTTTTCTATATTATTTTTTCCTTCTTTCTCTCTTTTTTCTTTATTTATTAAAATAATTCAAAATAAAATTAAAAGAATGTGTGTATGTATGAGTACGCATGCGTATATGTGCAACTAAAGGTAGGAAATTTTAAATATATACAAAAATATTACAAAACATCTTTTTTTTTGTTATTACTTCTTATAATTACTTATCTTCATATATTTACATATTACTAAATTTACGATAATTGAATATGGACTGGTATTTATTTATTCAAGCTCTTGCCCAATCAGCAGACAATGTTTTTTAAATGTGTTTTTAATATTCATTTTTTATTAATTATACATTTGTACAATTCATTGTAAAAATAATATTTATTTAATGTTTATTAAATATTTATTTCACATTGATTATTTATTTGAAGTAATAATTTAGAAAAAATATTTATTAAACGTTTATTTAATATTTGTTTTACATTAGTAAGTTATTTGCAATAAGTTAAAAAAACATTTATTTAACATTTATTCGACATTATTTTGTAACGGCCTGCCTTTTAGCTGTTTATATCGAACGCGGACTAGCTCGCCGGACCAGGAGTTCGATGGTAGGCCCAGAGACAGAAGGCAGTTTCGATACGGAACGTGGTTTATTTCGGTGTTTCAATTACAACAGACTGTCGCGATAGTTACAAATTTCGTGAACGCATTCGGTGTATGCGGTGGACGCGGGCGGATTAGATTCTATAAGACGGTCGCGGTAGTTACCAATTTCGGGAACGCATTCGGTGTATGCGGCGGACGCGGGCGGATTATATTCTATAAGACGGTCGCGATATTTACAAGTCTCGGGAACGCATTCGGTTTATGCGGCGTACGCGGGCGGATTATATTCTATAAGACGGTCGCGATAATTACAAATTTCGGGGACGCATTCGGTTTATGCGGCGGATGCGGGCGGATTATATTCTATAAGGCGGTCGCGATATTTACAAATGTCGGGAACGCATTCGGTTTATGCGGCGGACGCGGGCGGATTATCTTCTATAAGACGGTCGCGATATTTACAACTTTCGGGAACGCATTCGGTTTATGCGGCGGGCGCGAATCCGGTGGTCCGTACCGGCGCGATGCGGTACGCGTGCGAACGGGCCTTTAAGCCGGCCAATGGCTGGTCGGCCCGCGGCGCGAGATTCGCGGCGCGGGCGCGTGTATATTATCCGGCGCGGTTTCTTTCTCGCGATACGGTCCGGTGTTAATTACGCGGCGCGGTGGGAAGGAAAACGAACGGCCAGGGGGTAGGCTGGTCGATCGGTTGACGAGGAGGTCCGACTGTTCCGGCGGCAAGAATCCTTGTCGAGAGGCCGGGCACGCTCGACCCCTGGTTACCGTGGCAGACGGGGTGTTCCGGGTAGGAAGGCGGTCAGCGCTCAAGAATTCTTGAACGAGGCTCAGAACGCTGGACCCCGTTTCGCAAGCTGGCCTAGGAAGCGGAAAGGTACTCGTCTCCGAGGGTAGCGGAGCATATGTAGCTAGACTCGGATCGAAGTGTGTCTATCTGTCGCGGCGCCGGTATTTTTATACTCGCCCGGGTGGTACGCTAGGGAGGGGAAGCCGGTTCCCGCGTGAGCCGCGCCGCCAGCGGAGCGGAGCGGAATCGGCGCGGCGATAAGCGTGCTCGCGCTCGGGGGCGCTCGGCTCCCCTCGGTTTCTGTCGGAGACCCGGGAAGATGTCGGTGCGGCGGAGTGCCGCGCACACGACCGAAGTTAAGTTGTTTAAAAATAAGGTGGGCGCACCGCGCCCTTTCCTCGCCCGATGGAGATCGTCGGGCGGCATCCGGCAGTTCTTTGCCGGGAATGATGCATGTGTGGGGGTGCATCGTTACAATTTTAATATTTATTTTACATTAACTATTTATTTGCCATAATGAATTGAAAAAACATTTATTTAACATTTATTCGACAGTAATGTAATATTTATTTTACATTAATTATTTATTTGCAATAATGATTTAAAGAAACATTTATTTAACATTTATTTAATATTAATTTAATATTTACTTCAGATATTGCGCTCAAATTCCTTCGCGTTTTGCAAACGCCCGATCGTTTCATTCAGATGTAGATGGCGCGACGCGTGAGTCGCCACTTTCAAAGCGCCCCCACTCCTTCCTCGCTCGGCTCGCTCTCGTTCAGTCAGTTCAGTGTCATGGCCGCTCTTGCTGCGTTTCTTCGGACGAGACGAGTACGTTTTCCTTCTTTCGTAACTGATTGAGCTAAGCGGCACATATTCTGGAGACCAACCGAGCGAGATTCGACTTCCCAAGGAGAGCTCACCGCCAGGAAAAGGAGAGCTGCGGCAGCTCGCACCCGAGAGGGAGAATTAAGGCGAGGAGTCCGGTCCAGCGAGCAGGGCCCTTCCGATATTCTCATTTGGGACGCCATATTGGAAGATCGACATTGTTCGTAGTAGTATAAGGAGCTCTGTAAGGTTAATCTCGTCTTGAGATCTTGGAATTGCTCTTATTCTTGTTACTCTGGTTTATATTTTGGCCCTAAAATTTATCTCGTAGACAAATGCAGAGGCCCCCCTCTCTTTTCTTCTCTTTTCTTTTCTTACTTTGATTTCAATCGGTAATCCAGACTCCTTAATTCCGTATTATTAATATTATTTGTTAAATGGCATTTGTGATATGCGATTAGTTATTTGGTATTAAGGTATTAATTTTAAGTTTTATTAGTATTAAGATATTTCATTTATTTAAGATACTCACAATCAGTATCAAGACATTTTTCAATTTTAATTTTAATTTTGTTGAAACTAAATTTTAATTTTAATTTTTATTAAGATACAATACATATATTAATTGTTTTAAATAGTTAAAAAAATTCTTTTTTTGTTATGATATAATATGAGTTTAATTTAGATAGTATGCAAGAGTACATGAACAAGTAGATAAAAAAGTGTAAACAAATAAATATGTTCCTTTGTACCTTAGAAACAAACGTGTGCGATCTCTTAGATTTTTTCTGACTCTCCCCCCATATGCTATTTACCACATTATCATATTAACATGCTCTATGTCATGTATATTATCGGTGACTTGCAGTGGAGTTTTTATTTAAGTTGTGTTTCATATGGTTAATAAAAAAAAGATTTATTATATAAATTTTATAACATTATTAATTGTGATACATGTATGTCTATATGTATCTGATTAATTAAAATTGTGATTAATTAAAATTAAAATTAACAATGTTATAAAATATTTTGCGGTAATATTTTTTTAATATTAAAAATCTTAGATTCTAAATAATAAATCTAGATAAATATTGCATTTAACAGAGCAACGAGATACGACAACATAAGTCAAAGTCACAACCGTATCTCGTTGCTAAATTTACCAAAACCTATACTATATGAATTATCGATGATGTACGTGATATGGAACATGTTTCATTACGATTTAAAAAGTAGTAAAAATTAATACATTGATAATAAAATGTACTACAATAAATGTTTTCTCCAATAGTCCTAATAAAGTATTCTTTTGAATTCAGTAAATATTTTATTAGGTTTAGAAAATTTGTTTCAATTGGATGAATATTTTTTTCATTCGAAAAATATTAACTGAATTAAAAAAATACTTTATAAGGACTACTGGAGGAAACATTAATTAAAATTTAGTACATTTTTCTATCAGTGTAGGATCTAGAGGGTTTTAGGAGGTTTAGGAGGGTTTTACCGATAACTCCTCTTTTAAACCTCAAAATAGGAAACAGTCCGTTTTCTGCCGTTTTCAGGCACAAAGTAGGAGCTAAGTACAATACAATTAGAACCTATCAAAATCCTTTAGAATCCTGAGATGTGAAAAATATGAGGTCGAAAGAAGGAGTAAAATTTCGACTCGGGATTGCGCGATCAATCACATATGTATAAATAATATATATAAATTTTATATTTAGGACCTATCCAGACAAACACTGCATATATAAAAAAATATAAAATATATAATATATTATATTTCAATCGAATTTCAACCTTCGACGTTGAAACGACGTTGAAACGATAAGTTGAATAGTCGGTGATATTTTATACGCTTTCGACGTCGAATCGACCAGAATTACGACGTTGATTCGACATTCGGTTTTCGACATTGATTCAACGTCGAATCAACTAATCATTTCTGACTGGGTAGCCTAGCGCCTAACCCCCAACCTGGAGGATCAGTTCTCAAATATAGAGGGGTGCTCAAGAGATACGAGATACACTCTCGGTGGGTTGCCATTAACCCTTCCGAGAGGTGGCGATCATATAAAAACCGACGATTTTTGGTCGGATTTGAACTCGGATCTTTGGCTCGTTAGAGCAGCGCACATCTTTCTGCGCCACGATCGCCACCTCAGTCAAGTGTTTTTCTTTCTTAACGTAATGTGTTTTTCTCTCTTAACGTAATATGAGCGACGAGTACGCAGAACTTTGCAAACCAACGTTCAATCCTAAAATCAGGAAACCGATCGTGAAAATCAGCGAACCGCTCGCAAGAAATAAGGATCCGTTCGTGAGGAATAGACATCCGCGACGCGTCGACGTAACGAGATATCTGATTCGTCGCGAAATCGGAATCGCAGATCTCCGATCTCAGCGGAGGTTTCTCGATATTTTGATTACGCTGAAACACTAATATGGCGGACTGAAGATGAAGATTTGCATCTTGATTTAGACGCGTTAGCGGTGCGAATGTAGCATTAGCGATACGTATTTGCGAATGAACGATCGCCGTTATCACTCGTCCGCAGAATTGGACGACGAACCGCGCTGTCGCGAGCCCATGCCCAAGTTTTTGTCCGATTCGGACGACGAATCGGCGAGGGTCGAAACATCGATGTTGTCAAACGTGCGCGCGTCGGTGGTAAAGGAGGACGCGCGATGGAATCTGGCTACTTACCATCTGCGAAGGGAAATCGGAGCGCGAACTATTCGCGAGCGAGAGTGGATAGAGACGACGGTGGCAAACTCCGTTAGGGTGAACGATTATACGCGTTGCCTGCCGCTCGAGTATTATCTTTATTACGAGACGGTGTACGGAGGAGAGAGGATACGTCTGATTCAAACAACCAGGTCTCGTCGTCTTTTCGATTGAGTGAAATTCAGCGTTCCCGAGGGTGAACCCTTCTGGACGCGATGTGGAAAGAGTGCGACGAGTTGCTCGCCGCGGACGTCCGCGACGCGGACGGGTACCGCGCGTGGAGACGACGATGCGACGAGTGTCTCCGGCTCCTGCGGGAGGAGCGTCGAGTCAAACGCCTCAAGAAGCGAGGAACCACAGGAGCCGTTACCAGAGCGGTGGCTCTAATAGCGCGATTGGAAGGTTCGAGGGAGAATCTGCATCGACGATTTCTCGTGGATCGAGATCGATGCGGCGTTCCAACGTCGCGTACTGACCGGCGCTGTGACGAACTCGACGTACATCGAGCCCGCGCGATTTCTCGACGATGCGAAGGGCACCGTGCTTGAAAAAGTGCGGGATAATATCACCGGACACGGGTGTTTGAAGGTCAATGTCATATTTAATGGGAAATTCGTAGCGGACGTTAAGATCGATGTGAAGAGTATCGCTACGCGGAACGAATAGCTCCTCCCGGGGTCCGATCTGGGCGAGTGGTACGATAGGCACGTGCGCAACGCGATTCTAACGTGGTTGGACGAATTTCAGGAACGCGACAGCGGATGGGCGTTGTCGCGAATACTGAACCTAATCGTGAACGTGAACAAGTGTAATCCCATGCGCGCGGGATGTTGGATGAAATTACCGCTAGGTATAAGACTTAAAAAGGCGGTGATCAACGTGCGGTCGGAGAACGACGCGTGTTTCGCGCGCGTGGTGGTCGCTGCTCTGTATCCCGCCAAGCGGAACGCGGAACGATGCGGCTCGTATGCCGATTACGGGACGGTGCTGAATCTCGACGGCTTTTCCCATAGATCTAAAAAAGATCGGAAAATTCGAACGTCAGAACGACGATCAACGTATTCGCAACTCGGGAAGGAATTGAAAAGAAAGCTAAGTTCGGACGGGGCGCCGACGACAACGCGATCGTGCTTCTGCGGTTAACCGACGATAAGAGGGACAGGCACGTAAATCTCCTGTATCTGCGCGATACGCTACGCGGCGTCAACAGGGGCCATTTCGCCTGGATAAAGAATCTGTCGCGATTGGTGGGTTTGCAATTGACCGTGAGCCGGTGCGCGAAGCACGTTTGCGATCAGTAGGTAAAAAAAATGGAAAAAAAACATGAATAAGGAAAAAGACGAGGTGTTATTTTATGTACGCATAGTAATCGCACGCACGTTATTTCGCAGATGTCTACACTATTTCTATACGCGCGATAAGTTGGACGCCCACAGCGTCGACTGCGGCCAAATGAACGACTGCGCCATCGTTCTTCCGAACGAGAACGATAAGTGGCTGTCGTTCGACAATCACGACAGAAAGGAGCGACTACCCTTCGTGGTGTACGCGGATCTGGAGTGTCTTCTCGAACAACGGAAGAGGGAAAACGTTGAAGGGGGCGCGAGAACGGAAAGATACGCTTATCAGCGTCACGTACCGTTCAGCCTGGGCTACTATCTGTGCTGCACCTACGACGATACCGCATCCGCGTACAGATGTCGCGGCGAGGATTGCGTTTCGTGGTTCGTGAACGAGTTTCGCGTTCTCGCGCATCGCGTTAAAAATAAATTTTCCACCAATATAGCGATGGTAAAACTTACGGAGGACGAGAAAAGCGAATTTCGGCTCGCGACTCATTATCACGTGTGCGGGAAATCGTTCCAATCCAAGGACAAGCGCGTGCGAGATCACTGTCACCTAACCGGGCGCTACAGAGGTCCGGCGCATTCTCGTTGCAATCTGAAGTACAGAAACGTTTACGTAATTCCCGTGTTCTTTCACAATCTGTCGGGTTACGACGCGTACTTCATCGTCGAGAAAATCGCGAACGAGTTTGAAAGCGGGGTCGATCTGCTGCCGCTCATGAAGAAAAGTTACAATCTTTCTCGAAGACCGTTAAGGAGACGCAGACGGACGGGGGATAAGATCGGTACGTGAAGCTTCGATTCGTGGACTCGTATAAATTTTTAGCGGCGAGTATCGAAACCCTGGCGTCCTATCTGAACAAGGACAAGTTGAGAATAACGCGTTCGGAATACGCGGATTTGAGCGCGGAGGATCTCGATTTGCTCACTTGCAAGGGAGTATTTCCGTACGAGTACGTCGACAGCGTACTAAGCGTGGACAAACTGCGGGACCGAGCTTCCGCCGCGCGAGGTCTTTTACAGCTCCCTGACCGACGAGACCGCGAGCGAGAGCGACTACGAGCACGCGACGAGGGTCTGGCGACGCTTTCGCGTGCGAGATCTCGGCGAGTACAGCGATCTGTATCTCAAGACCGATGTGCTTCTTCTGGCGGATATATTTGAAAATTTTCGAGACGCGTGTTCAGCGAGTTATGGGCTTGATCCCGCGCATTATTAAACGTTTCCGAGATACACGTGGGACGCCATGCTGAGGTATACCGGCGTGCGTTTCGAGCTGCTCACCGACATCGACATGGTGCTGTTCGTGGAACGCGGAATACGCGGCGGCCTCAGTCAATGTTCGCTCAGGAACGCGCGAGCCAACAACAGGCACGTACCGACGTACGACTCGTCCCAGTCCACTACGTATCTCATGTATTACGACGTGAACAATCTGTACGGATGGGCTATGAGCGAATCGCTGCCGTACGCGAATTTCCAGTGGCTCGACGACCCTGAGAATTTCGACGTGACGACCGTGCCGGCGGACAGCGACGTCGGTTACATTCTGGAGGTGGATCTCGAGTATCCGCGGGACCTGCACGACGCCCACGCGGACTAACCGTGGTGCCCGACGCGCGACAAACCGCCCGGTAAGCGGCAGGAGAAACTGCTCGCTACTCTCTACGACAAATCGCGCTACGTGACGCAATATCGAAACCTGCAGCAATGTCTGCGACTAGGTATGCGTCTGACGCGCGTTCGTCGCGTTCTGCGATTCACCCAGTCGCCGTGGCTTCGCGTCTACATCGAGCTGAACACCACGCTTAGGACGCGCGCGAGCAACGAGTTCAAACGGAATTTGTACAAACTGATGAACAACGCCGTCTTCGGCAAGACGATGGAGAACGTGCGCGGTCACGTGGACGTGCGTCTCGTGACGCGATGGGACGGGAGATACGGCGCGGAGGCGTTGATCGCTAAGCCGAACTTTCACAGCAGAAGCGTCTTCTCGGAGAATCTGGTCGCGATCGAGCTGCGAAGGCTCGAGGTAAAATTCAACAAGCCGGTTTACGTGGGTATGTGCATTCTCGAGATATCCAAAACACGTCTCTACGAGTTTCACTACGACTACATGATGCCGCTCTATCGCGACCGGTGTCGAATTTTTTACACGGATACGGACAGTCTGATCTATTCGCTGGCGTGCAAAGACGCGTACGAGCGTATGAAACGCAACATACACAGGTTCGACACAAGCGATTACGCGGAGAATAACGCGCACGGTATGCCGCGCGTCAACAAGAAGGTGCCCGGTTTGATGAAGGACAAGAACAACGGCGCGATCATGACGGAGTTCGTGGGCCTCAGAGCGAAGATGTACACTTACAAGGTACTCGGACGCGACGACACCAAGAGAATAAAGGGTGTTAAGAGAAACGTAGTCGCGGAGAGGATCACGTTCGAGGATTACGTAGCGTGTCTGCGGAACGCGCGCGAGCTGAAGACGCGCCAGTCGTGCATACGTTCGACGCTGCACGAGGTTTACACCATGTCGGAGCAAAAACTAGCCCTCAGTCCGCACGACGACAAACGATACGTGACGTTGAACGGCGAGGAAACGCTTCCGTGGGGACATTACGGAATATCGTTGTAAAAAAAAAAAAACAATATTATACGCTTTAAAAATTGTTTTATCGTAAAAATCAATAACACGTAAGAAACAAACCAATAAATGTGTAAACTTTTATTAACAATAAAGTACGCGATGCGCGTGTCTACGAATGTCTAAGTATTTCTTTTTACAATACAGACGCCTTATCTATCCACGAATTGTGCGAACTGTTCATTCCCAGCCACTTCACGAATGCTCGATTGCCGCGCTTACGCAGGACTTTTTCCACGAGATAGACGTCGGGATTGGAGACGCGTAGCAACTCGTGTTCGTAAAATCCTCCGGTTATTGCTTCTTTGCGAATGTCTTTCAGCAGATACGTAACGGGATTGGTCCTTTGTACTTTAGCTATGCGAAAGATCTCGGTGGTCCAATTGGGAGTGTAGCCTTTTTCGAAAATCGTTTTGAATTTGCTCCGCGCACCGGATCGTCGACTCGAAATCTCGCCGGCGCGGCTATCTTCGCGCGACTGTACACCGTGCGCAGCAGTTTTTCGGCGACGGTGAACATCACGTCCGCCGGACGCATTCGGATCGTTCTGTGTCTGCGACGATTATAATTCAACAAGAGGCGCAGCAGCAAGTCTATCCATCTGTACGATCCCTGGAGCGTGAAGAGCTTCCACATGTCGTTCTTCAGCGTGCGATTGAATCTCTCCACCACCGACGCTTTCATCACCGAATACGTGGAGTAGTGATTCACCTTGTGCCCGTCGAGGATTTTGCGCACGTCGGCGTTGTAGAATTCCTTTCCTTTGTCTGTTTGCAGATTCCTGGGGTGTCGCGCGTCCTCGCGAAAAATCTTTCGGAGAGCCGTCACGACCTCCTTTCCGCCCTTGCTCTTGAGCGGGATCGCCCAGGCGTACTTGCTCAGCACATCGATGACCGTCAGAATGTAATTGTGACCCGCGTTTGTGCGCGAATGAGGGCGCATCTCGACCACGTCGGCCTGCCACAGGTCGTCGTAACCGCGCACCACGACGCGGCGCGCGGCGGCGAGGAAAGTTTTTTCGCGCCGGCGCGTGCAATTCTTCTACGAGTCTACGTTTTTCCACGCTCATTTTGTTTGAGAAGCTTTAAAACAGTCTTGATTGCGATGATTTCAACCTCGTGCTTATCCACGGTATTTTTTACAGTAACGAACTCTTTTTTAAATCTTTTGTCGCGTCACTCAAAGTCTTTCCGAGTTCCGCGATCGCTCCCTCGACGAAGCTTTTGTTGGCCGCGTCGGCGCCGACCTCCGGCGCGGCTACGCGTCGTATCTTGCGCTCCGACGCGTCGTAGGAATCCTGAGCGTTCAAACGGAGCGCGACGTATTTCAGCGTCGCAATTCCGCCCCCCCCCCAATTCTCTAATCGCGTTGTTATTTTTTATCTCTTCGATTAAAACGCTTTTTAGCTGCCCAATCGCGCCCTCTACGTTGCTCCTGTTCGTCGCGTCGGTGCCAATTTTCGGCGCGGCTACGCGCTATATCCTGCGCTCCCTCGCGTCGTAGGATTCCTCGTCCAAACGGAGCGCGTCGTTCCTCAGCGTCGCGATTCCGCTTCTCAATTCTTTGGTCGCGTTTTTCTTCTCGATCTCACCGGTCACGACTTTCTTGAGCCGTCCGATCGCGCCATCTACGTAGGTCTTGTTCGCCGCGTCGGTGCCGATCTCAGGCGCGGCTACGTGTCGTATCTTGTGCTGATCCGCTTCATAAGAGTTTAAACGAATGAGGAGTGCTGCGTCCCTCAACTTCGTTATTTCACTTTTCAAATTTCTTGCACCGCCGCTATCCTACCATTCAATTCTTCGGTCGCGCTTTTCTTCGATCGTCCGATCGCGTCCTCGACGTAACTCCTGTTCGTCGCGTCAATGTCGATCTCCGGCGCGGCTACTCTTCGTATCTTGCGCTCCCTCGCGTCGTAAAAATCCTCGCTCATGAAGAGCGTTGTTGCGCGTTGTTGCGCGCGTATTTGCGCAGGAACTCGATCGAGGAGCGCAATCTCACCGTGGACGCACTGTCGACTCCGTCACCGCTGCCCCGATTCGTCAGAGACATGCCAAATTTGTTCACGGACATTGCGCTGCGGGCGCGCGATTCGCACTGCCGTCGCGACCGACGCGACCGATCAATTTATGACGAAGCCGGCCTCGCGAAGTTCCTCGATTATCGACAGGATTTCGTTGTCGTGAGCGTCGTTGCCGGCCCGACGAGAGGCGTCCAGCAGTCGAAGTCTATCGACCAGCTCGTTGGGATCGTCCCAGTGAACGTAATCGATAGCGTTGTCGGTCAGTCGCATGGCCGACGGTAGCCCGGCACCCTTCGTAGTTCCAACTCTGTGAGACAGGTTTACGAGCGGCGCTATTATATTTTTGTACTTCGGTCCCTTGTTGCTCTTGACGGGATTGTTGGCTTTGCTGCCGCGTTTGTGAGCGCTGGTGGAGAAAAGTATACCCTTGTACGTTAGTTTGTCCTTCTCCGTGTAGATTTTAGCGTCGGGTTTTCCCATGAAGATCAACTCGTACAGGCCGCGCGTGCCTTTGTACCGTACACCGTCGATGACCATGGAGTCATCCGCGTTCAGTTTGAATCGCTTGTTACCCAGCATCGTGCCTTTCTCGCCAAAATGCACTCCGTAAACGGTGTCGATTTTCTTGTTTTTGTCGCCGCCCAGAAGAGCGCCCAAGTATTTTCGCCCTAACGGTCCTAGTTGGCTAGTCAGAGCGTCGCGACCTTCCGCCGTACTCTAAGATTTCCCGGCGGACGTCACCAACGTGGGAGGCGGAATCGTCGTCTCCGAGACGATCTCGCGTTCTCTGGGTAAAAACTGGACCGAATCGTCGCGGATCGGCGTGGAGCTCATCATGGTCGTCGTCGCGGGAGCCGAACTCAGCCGTGCCGGACGCGACTCTTTTTGTCGTCGAATATGTCGTCGTCCTCCCCGTAATCGCGCTCCAGGTCGGCGCTAGGATCGTCGTCGTCGTCGTTGCCGTTTTCGCTGTTCTTCTTTGCTCTCTTCGTCGCTTTCATCTTTTTCGCGAACGTAAAGCCAGCGCTGTCGTCGTCGTCAATCTTGCCCGGTCCTTTACCCCTACGTTCCACGTCATCGGCGAGCCGTTTCAGAACGTTTGTCTTACCGCAATTGGAAGGACCGCAAATGATGCAACGGACGACGTTCGGAAGGAGAGGACCGTGCCGGCGCGATTCTCTGTTTCCTCTCTCGGTTGCGCCCGACTCCGCCAACGTTTTGCGATCCAAATTCGAGACTCCTAACGTCGCCGTCTGTCGCACGAATCGCATGTTTGCCCTCTCTCTCTTTTTCTCTCGGGTTTTTTCCGCGAGCGCGATTTCCGCTCGGTTCGTTCGCGATGAGTCTCTCGATCGCCGGAAAAAGGGAGGGAAGCGCGGACGTCGTTTCGTTTCGTCGCGCGTGCGCAAACGCCTCGCGCGCGGGTATAAGTAGCGCGAGCGTGTCGCCGTATCCGTACAAAAAAATTAATCTAAAAGCAACGAATCGTTCGCGCGCATCGGTGAGATGTCTCACATCCGTGTGTTTCCCATATTGGTGGACAGTTACGAAA